TATATATATATATATATATATATATGAAGAACTCTATTTAAAAAAAAAAAAAAGAAAGTTGAATGCTTATATTTTGTAATGAAAATCTAGAAATACCATATTGGAGCATTGCATCTATGCCAAAGGATAGCAGATTACTTTTTTTAATTCATTTTTATTTTTCACTCAAATACACACACACACTCTCATACATATGGGAAATACGAAACACCTAAACAATCATTTAAAACATTTTACTACAGTATACACATATATGCATATATGTTGTAGGGTTTATGATTATCTTTGATTCTTTTGATGATAACATGAGACAAAATTAATATTTTGTTTGTATGTTGGGGAAAAGTGAGAAAGGCGAAACCTGAATATCTTTAGCTTCAACGGCAGTTCTGCTACAATCACATGCAGATCATTTCACTTCGACGACCAGATCTTCCCTCAAAACCTTTTTTTTTTCTTATATTTTTTAATTTTTGATAAAAACTTATAATATAAATACTTTTTATTTAATTTTGGTTCAACGAAATGCGATACTAACATTTGATAATTTGTTTTCGAGACGTAATTATACATTTGAAGAAAATTCATTAACAGCAAGGAATTTATTAACATACTTGTATCCAAAATCTGAGGGAAACGATAAATATGAAAAAGTGTATTTAAATGCATGTCGATATTTTTTTTTGTTTTTTTAAATAAATTGTATGCCAATTCAAAAATGGGTAAACGATGGAAGAAAAAACAAGACATGGGTGATATTGAGAAGAATGTTTCTGCCACTGGATAAAATTGAATGAGTGGTTCAAATAATTTTTCATTCAAAATACGTTTCCATTACATAAAATGGTCCATATTTCTATCCAATCCTTTTTACACATTTAATATATCTATTTTCTTAAAAACATTTTAATATCCAGTTTCACATCAAATTTTCGGTAAATTAGTACTGATTTGTCATGTAAGATGAAATAATAATATTGTATCATAACGAAAATTTTATATATATATATATATAAAGAGAGAGAGAGAGATCAAAGATACGATACTAAAACAAATCATTAATTTTGCTTTACGATATCGTGCCGCTAATCAATGATATTTCCGAGATGATAATGTACCATTTTTATTGAATTTGTTCTCAAAAAAATTGGGATGTTAAAATGTATGTTAAATAAATAAGATATTAAAATATATGAAATATCCAGATATCAAAATATATCATAAAATTTAGTTTTGATAATAAAAAATATTTCTCTTACATTTTAGTTAGTACAAAATAAAATTTCCCAATTTATAATCCGTCTAAAATTTTATTACAAATAGACATATGTTTTCCGGCTACTGTTAAAAAACAATCTGATATTTATTATTAGAATATAACGTAGTTTTTTTAAGCAACATTAAATATTAGCTCCATGTTAAAATAATATATAATTATATTTACTCAAGTTTGGGTTACTCAACTATTAAAGAAAACAAAACTCCATTTTCAATCTATATTTGAGTCTTCTGTTTAGTAAGAGATATTTAGATAGATTTTTTCGATCCTTTAAAAAATGTTGTTGAGTAAAAAATTTGGTGAATTTCCATATTATCAATATATATATATATATATATATATATATATATAATTGTACCTTTTATATTTGTGATAATTTATAAAAACACACGCTCACTTAGGGAGACACGACTGTAACGCCAAGTCTATACAGAGCTAGATATAGCTTAACAGTTAATGACAAATTTAAGATAAAGACAAATTACTTCTTAATTCATAAAAAAAAATGTGTAAAAAACAAAATAATTGTCAACGCTCCGCTTTTGAGACTCTTTTCATGGAAACGAAACTTCTAAATTTTGTATCATTAGCCATTTTAAAATATGTCTTAATCTTACTATCGTTTCTAACTAATCTATATATTTATTGTGTATGTGTATATGTTATAAACAAAAAAAATATAATTATTAAAGTATTTTGGATAAATACTAACGTCAAAATCTAAAAATAATCAAATTTCACATGTGTATTATCACTTTTAAATTTGTTTTACATTTGGGTTTGTACGAAACCCTTAAAAAATACGGAGGAATCCTGTGATTGTTAATTTATATTATAATTGAAATAGTTTACAATTTGAGATATGTCGTATTTGGTCCTTATATAAACAAAACATGACAATAAAAGTTGTTTACAATTTCGCATTCTAATAATTAGTCTTTTATATAATCATATCTTTGGTGTTAAATATATATATGTTGTTATTAGAAAACCAAATATGCAGTCATTATATTTATAATATTTAACATACATCAACCAAACATTAGTTTGATCATAGAAGTTAGTGTGCCAACATTAATAAACTAGGGAAAATGAATAATGTAAGAAAATAAATAAATGTGGTAAGTTTAATGCAGGTCGAATTGATGTAGCTTACATAGCTATAAAAGTAGTAATAATAATAAGGGTGGTAATAATTAAATATATATATATGTATATGTATATATTATGGGGCCTAGAATTTTTGTCCATGTTTTGCGCTCTTGAAATTCAAAGTCACATTTATTATATAAGACCAGATCTCTAGATGAAATCACAATTCATAGCTCATATTACCATGCAACAATCCACGGTTTTGTTTCCTTTTTAATTCATCTTTTTATTAAATAAAGATTTTGATTTTTAAAAGTGTTTCGGTTCAATATAAAAAAAAATCCTTACTTTGCTGCAAAAACTTCATCACATACCTTTTAAAACCTTAAATTTTTAAAAAAAAATTAAAACGAGCAAAATACATAAATGACCTTATTAAAAACGACACATAGCACAAGAAGAAGGAACGACAATGACTTTTTCCATATTCTATACTTTTCCATAAATTTAATTATTTTTAAAACAAAATTCAAAAGTTTCTCTCTTATCTTTATCTTTATTTCATCTTTCTTAACGATTCTTTTATTCTCAATTCTCAACTTTCTGATTATCATAAATCAAACAAAAATGAGTTCTCCATCAAACAAAGACGACACTTCTGTATAATTTTATGAGGATGGATCGTCTGAATCGATTGTAGAAATCAGAACTCGATTATATGAGAAAACCAAGGTTCTGGGAAGACCTTTTACAGGAGAGCGTGTGGCTCAAAGATGGAGTAAGTACATTTTGTTTTCACTAGTCATACTGTTATATTATCTGGTCATATTAGTCACACTGTTGTATTAGCCAGTCACAGTTAAAAATTCACATTGGTCACACTAGTCACACAGTTAAAAATTCACATTGGTCACACTAGTCACACTGTTATATTATCTGATCACACTAGTCACATTGTTGTATTAGTTAGTCACACTAGTCACACTGGTCATATAGTTAAAAATTCACATTGGTCACACCAGTCACATAGTTAAAAATTCACATTGGTCACTCTAGTCACACTATTATATTATCTGGTCACAATAGTCACACTGTTATATTATCTGGTCACACTAGTCACACTAATATATTACATTATTTTACAGCATTTGGATGAAGCTATACTCGATATTCGAAACCGTCTGACCAAAGAACGCATTCAAACAACAAAGAAGTATATGTTTGGTGATACGAGTTTCGGTGAATTTCTCAAATGATGGGTCCATGGAAATCAATAAAAATTGTTTGGTCTTGAGGAATACTTTGCAGGAAAAGCATCCGTCGGTGGTGAAGGGAGGGATATGGGAAGTTATGAAGGGTTTATTACTCCCTTGAGTATTCTTTCATCCCAAGGAACTCCCCATTCCAGAATGCACGCTCTCAACATGTCCTCGAGCGTCTGGATGGTTCGTTCCGATTGTCCGTCTGTCTGGGGATGATAAGCAGTACTCATCCTCAGTTGAGTTCCCATCGCGCTCTGAATGGCGCCCCACAGTCGCGCGGTAAACCGAGAATCACGATCTGAAATGATCTCACTCGGAACTTCATGCAAGCGGACAATCTCATCGATATATATCTGTGCCACCTTCTCCACTGTATACTCTTGTCTGATCGGAATGAAATGTGCGGACTTCGTCAATCGGTCGACGACCACCCAAACAACATTCTTCTTCGCTGGGGTCGTCAGTAACTCAACAACAAAATCCATCGCAATCGAGTCCCACTTCCATTCCGGAATCTCCAATGGCTGTAACTTCCCACTGGGCATCTGTCGCTCTACCTTCACATGCTGACAGATAAAGCAATGTGCCACAAA